CACTCTCTCTATCTAATCACCCTCTTCCTACTCTCCCTATACCTCACCTCCTGCCACCACTCCAAGGCCTAGAATGTCAAAATTGAAGTATTTGCTGAATAGTTTTCTAATTCCAATATATTCATTCATACAAAGATACAAGATTTATACAATCAGATGCAGCCTATTCTAGGTAACCAATCTATAATTACAAGTTGATTACAATCAGATCCTATTATAGCTCTAATCAGATCGTTGACCATTTACAATCCCTACGATCATGTTAACCAAATATACTTTCCTTTAACACTCCCCCTCAAGTTGGAGCGTGGATGTCAAGAACGCCTAACTTGCAGAGAAGCAAATGAAAAGCAGGTGATCGCAGTGGCTTAGTAAACATGTCAGCCACTTGTTCTCCAGTGTGTATATAGGCTGTCTTGATTTCTCCTCTTTGGATCCTCTCACGAATGGTGTGGCAATCAAGCTCAATGTGTTTGGTGCGCTCGTGGAACACAGGATTCACTGCAATGTGTAACGCAGCTTGATTATCACAAAACAGCTTCGCCGGATTAGGATGGATTATTTGCAAATCCTTCAACAGGTATCTCAACCACGTGAGTTCACAAGTTGCTGCAGCCATGGAACGGTACTCTGCTTCGGCAGATGATCGTGCTACCGTGACCTGTTTCTTGCTCTTCCAAGATATGAGTGAGTTGCCTAGAAAAATGCAATAACCTGTAACTGAACGGCGAGTAATCGGACAACGTGCCCAATCCGCATCACAATATCCAGTCAAATTCAGCTTACTTTGGGAAGAGAACAACAAACCTTGTCCAGGAGCATTTTTAAGATATCGAAGAAGTCTATGTGCTGCGTCCAGATGATGTCGCCTAGGTTCCTGCATGAATTGACTCAGGGTGTTGACGGCATATGTGATCTCCGGCCTTGTGATTGTCAAGTATATTAATTTCCCAACCATTCGTCGGTATTGCGTAGGATCTTTGAGAAGATCACTACCAGTGGGTAGTAGCACTAAGTCAGGTTCCATTGGAACCTTTGATGGCTTCGCACCAAGTAAACCTGCCTCTTCCAATATGTCAAGTGTGTACTTGCGCTGGCTGATGGTAATGCCAGCTTTGGACCGTGCAACTTCAACACCGAGAAAGTACTTTAGGGGTCCAAGATCTTTAATTCGGAAGCAACGGCTAAGAAACTGCTTGAGATCATTGATTGCTCCATCATTATTTCCTGTAATAACCATGTCGTCAACATATAATAAAACAATGGTGATGGAGCTGCCATAGACCTTAGTAAACAGAGAATAATCAGCCCGAGATTGTATGAATCCAATGTCATGGATGGCAGAGGAAAATTTCTGAAACCAACTGCGGGACGCTTGCTTAAGTCCGTACAAGGATTTTTTGAGTCGACATACAACACGCTCCCCCTGTCGACGATAACCAGGAGGAGGCAACATGTACACTTCTTCGTGGAGTTCACCATGAAGGAAGGCGTTTTGCACATCCATCTGATGGAGGGGCCAATGGCGAACCGCAGCAACAGTCAACAAGCATCGCACAGTGATCAGCTTAGCAACGGGAGCGAAAGTTTCCTTGTAATCGATCCCTTCGCGTTGAGTGAAACCTTTGGCAACGAGGCGGGCTTTGTACCGCTCAATTGTACCGTCCGAATGGTATTTGATTTTGAAAACCCACTTGCATCCAATAGCACGATGGCCGGCAGGCAAGGGTACCATGCTCCATGTCTGATTTTCTTCGAGAGCTCGGAGTTCATTGTTCATGGCAGCGACCCATTGGGGGTCATGACGGGCTTGATCATATGATGTGGGTTCCATCTGATGAGAAACATTATGGACGAAAGACTGATGAGCAGAAGATAATGAGGCATAAGAGACATACCGGTGGAGAGGATGTCGGGTGCTGGACAAGGAGGAAGAGGCGATGCCAGGCGCAAGCAGAGCAGCATGATGGGCCACATAATCGTTGAGATAAGCAGGTGGTCGGGTCAGGCGGGAAGATTGGCGAATGAGAGGTTGTGAGGACGGTGCAGGCGGAGGGGTAGGTAAGGCGAGGGAGTGGGTGGCAGGAGTGGGTGAGATCGGAGTGGTCTCTGGTGAAGGTGGAGGAAATGAGGGGGTGTGGGTATTGAGGTCGGGAACTGGAGAGGGTAAAGTGGGAGTTGGGGTAGTGGTGGGGTTCAAGTCATCTGGGTTTGGGCCAGGATGGTGTGGGCCGTGAGAGGGTAAGGAATCAGGAGGAATAAGGGGAAGAACAAGAGAGTCATCCTCATGTTCAGGTGGTGAGTGGGCAAAAGGAAAAATTGTCTCATGGAAGTGAACATCACGGGAAGTGGAGATTGTATGCGTTTCGAGGTCGTAAACACGGTAACCTTTCTGACCAAGGGGATATCCAAGAAAAAGACAACGGCGAGCACGAGAGTCAAACTTGTGGTTTGGGTGAAGGTTGGTGACATAACAAAGACATCCGAACACACGGAGGTGAGAATAAGTGGGCAAGTGACCATGTAAAAATGCGTAGGGAGTTTTATGGGATAATAAGGGTGTGGGAATGCGGTTGATAAGGTAGCATGCGGTTTGGACACCATCCCCCCAAAATTTTAATGGTAAATTGGCTTGGAAACGGAGTGCGCGCCCAATGTTCAAAAGATGTCGATGTTTACGCTCGACAACCCCGTTTTGTTGAGGGGTGTGAACGCATGAATGCTGAAAAATGGTGCCATGGGTGTCTAAAAAAGAACGCATGGAGAGGAACTCTCCACCATTGTCTGCGCGTAAAACTTTGATGGTTTTGTGGAATTGAGTTTTGACCCAAGAAAAAAATGATTTCAATAGTGATTGTGTATCGGATTTGAAACGCATAAGATGCACCCATGTAAAACGAGTAAAATCATCCACGATGGTGAGAAAATAACGTGCCCCAGAATGTGTGGGAACTTTGTGAGGCCCCCAAATGTCACAATGAATTAAGTCAAAAGGTGCGGTGGATTGAATTGAACTAGAAGCAAAAGACAATCGAGTTTGTTTTGCCAAAGGGCAAACTTCACAAACATGTTTGGAATCAAACATTATTTCGGGATTTGTTTTTGACAAAAAATGTAAAGGGTGTGTAGATGGGTGGCCCAAGCGTTGATGCCATAGACTGGTGGTGCGGCTAACATGGTTGGTAAGATGGGGATTTTGGCTTGGCGTAAGATAATAGAGCCCATTAAATTGCTTGCCCAGGCCAATCGTCCTCTTCGTATCCATGTCCTGCACAACACAAAAATCCGAAAAGAATATTACGATACATTGTAGAGCCCGTGTGAGTTTACTCACAGACAATAAATTGACACGAAATTTTGGAACATGGAGAACGCCATCAAGTAATAACTCATGTGACAATTGTACGGATCCAATGCTCTTAATATCTGCCGTGCCCCCATTTGGTAATACCACAAAATCATTTTCAGTAGCAATCTGTTTATGTGTTAATGGTGAATGTGATATGTGATCAGATGCCCCGCTGTCTATAATCCAGTAAAGAGTTGAATGCAAGTCATGTTCCGTCATATTACATGTGGGTGTAACAATACCTGTTGCATTCGCAAGTGGTGTAATTTTACTGTTTCCAGAGCGAAGCAAGGCAAGAAGTTGATGGTACTCTTCGGTTGTGAATGTTGGGCCGTGGGAAGATGTGGTCTTGGTTGCTTCTGGATGGATGGCGTGTGATGGAGATGCTTCGACATTGTGGGCTGTCGGATTTGGGCGTTTGTTTCTGGGCAGCACATGCTTCCCATGCCACTTATGACCTTCGGGAAACCCGATAAGGAAATAACACCGCTCTACGGAATGCGAGCCGTCACAGTAGCTGCATTTGGATGCTTTCCGTGAACTGGAGCTACCAGGTACATACCCTCCTTTTGGTGTTGTGGACCGATGTGTTTGCATCGCATGGGCAGCAGGTTCACGATGATTAGCCACATCCATTTGGCGTTCGTGTTGCAGAACCAACCCGTGGACACGTCGCGTATCAGGAAGCGGATTCATCATTAAGATAGAACCTCGTATGGTGGAGTAAGTCTCGTTCAAGCCCATTAAAAATTGCATGACCTTCTCTTTCTCCTCCCTTGCTACACGAGTCTTGGATCCCTCACAATCGCAGGTAATTGGTTCATAATACGAAGCCAGTTCATCCCAAAGAGCCTTTAACTGGGTGTAATAGTCTGAAATAGATAGTTGTCCTTGTCGGTGTTCGACGATTTCCTGTCGGATTTGGTAGATCCTGGAATCGTTTCCTTGTGAGAATCGATCCTCAAGATCCTTCCACGCTGCAGATGCAGATTTGCAGTAAAGTATGCTGCGTGCGATGTTGCCTTGCACAGATTGCCAAATCCATGACAAGACCATGTCATTGCATCTCTGCCAAATTGAAAACTTGGCGTCGGTAATTGCTGGGCACTTGATTGATCCATCAATGAACCCAAGTTTGTTCTTGGCACTGAGAGCGATGCGCATGGAGCGGCTCCACTGTCCGTAGTTGTGTCCGTCGAGGAGTTGTGAAACCAAGACGAGACTTGGTGAATCTGAGTGGTGTAGAGTGAGAGGGTCAAATGCATGTGACACCATCTCTGCTGGTTTTTCATCGCCCATGTTGGTTATGTGTGTTGGAAAAAATTTCGGTTGTGTTTGTAGCGGAAGTCGAATGGACGCCTAGAGTCACCAGGATCGGTGCTCTGATGCCATGTCAAAATTGAAGTATTTGCTGAATAGTTTTCTAATTCCAATATATTCATTCATACAAAGATACAAGATTTATACAATCAGATGCAGCCTATTCTAGGTAACCAATCTATAATTACAAGTTGATTACAATCAGATCCTATTATAGCTCTAATCAGATCGTTGACCATTTACAATCCCTACGATCATGTTAACCAAATATACTTTCCTTTAACATAGAAAGCCCAGCCCAAGCCCGGCACTGCCGTCCAAGCAGGTCGCCATGGTTTGCAACAATCTCTCCTTTCTCACCTTCGTTCTTCACCTTCTCGGTGACGGGAAGGATGAAGAACTTCCATCGCCATCGGATTTGATAGGATGCAAATCGTGGAGCAGAGAAGGGAGTGGAGGAGGGAAGGAAATGGTTGATCTGGGGAGAGAGAAGGGACGAGAGGTGAAGAGAGTGGAGGAGAGGGAGAAGGTGGGTCGGGGAGGTGAAGATGGACGAGTGGATCGGACAAGGATGGCTCGGGTGGGCAAAGGGTGGATGATGGGGGATGGGAGAAAGGGGTGTTCGGGTGGAAAGGATGGAGGGGTGGAGTCGTGGAGGGGGTGGAGGGGATGGAAGGGTGCTCAGCGGGGAAGATGAAGTCTGGGTTTTTGGCTTTTTTATTTTTTATTTTTAATTTTTTTTATAATAATTATTTTAATATTTTTAATTTTTTATTAAGTGTTTAGCCGATGTCCAAGAATTATAGGAACTGCTCATCAAACCAACCGGTTAACTGATGACCAACCGGTAAAATTTCTGTAGATATATTTTTTTTCCGGTGGGTGCGGTAGCTAGCCAGCGATACTATAAATAGCAAAGCTTATGAGCTCCCGAACTCACACCAGCACTTGATACAAAAGCAATAACACTTGGCTAGTTCGCTTCAGGTTTGAAATCTTTGAAGTATGTCTTCTGTGGAAGTTCCACTATCTCAATCTTCAAACCCAAATGACACTTTTGATGTTCATCAGCCTAAGCCTTCAGCCACTTATTCTCCCAGCATTTGGGGTGACCATTTTCTGTCCTATGCTTCTTTGGTAAGACTTCTTTCTAACTACAATAAACTATTATATATTTTGCACTATTATGAAAATTAAATTTGTAATTTTAAACAAAGAGGATAAACAAAGAGGAAAAAAATGAGTACTTTAATCATTTTAAATGCTACTGATTCGAAATCATTTTATCTAACTTTCCCTTCCTTATGGCAAACATGTTGCGAATCTAACTACCAAAGTTAAATTCACACTATTTTTTTTTTTTAATTTTTGGGAAAATCAAGTTCTTAAATGAAAACTGACACGCAAGGCTAGCTGCTCCTCTTTTCTCAATGTTTACAATTTTGAAATTGACATCATAAAGGTTATGCATTTTCTAACGTGTTACCAGACTTATAATCATTTTATATTAATTGTAGCCTATATCTTTTGGTACTTGGAAACCTCCTCATTCAAACATATCATAAAGGTTATGCGTTTTCTTTTTCCTTAAATCAAAATGTGATCCTGTGCAGGAAGTGGATGCTGAACTTGAACAACATGTACAAGAACTGAAGGAAGAAGTGAGAAGAATGCTAATGACATCACTTGAAAATGTTTCCCAAAAGCTGAACTTGATTGATGACATTCAGCGCTTAGGTGTGTCCTACCATTTTGGAAATGAAATTGAAGAAATTTTACAGAAAATTCACGAGAGCTCTTATGATTTGGATGACCTGTGCACGGCTGCTCTTTTTTTTCGATTGCTTAGACAACAAGGTTATAACGTTTCATGTGGTAAGTAATCTCGGATGGTGGTCTGGTCATATATATATATATATATATATGTATGTATGTATGTATGTATGTATGTATGTATGTATGTATGTATGTATGCATGCATGCATGTAATCTAAATGCTTCTTGAGGTTCTGAATTTTCCATTTTGTTGGTCATGCAGACTTATTCAACAAGTTCAAGGACGGTAATGGAAATTTCAAGGGATCACTCGTTGATGATGTTGTAGGACTACTAAGCTTGTATGAAGCCACACACCTTAGGATACATGGAGAGGAGATACTAGATGAGGCGCTAACCTTCACCACGACTAATCTCGAATCGGCGACATTCCGTTTAAGCCCCCCCTCCCCACTTGCAAAAGCAGTAACCCACGCCTTAAATCAGCCGCTTCTAAAGGGTCTACCAAGGGTTGAAGCAAGGTATTACTTGTCAGTCTACCAGGAACTAAGAGAATCACCGAATGAAACTCTCCTAAAGTTCGCCAAGTTGGATTTCAACCGACTGCAACGAGTCCATCAGAAAGAACTAAGCGAAATCACAAGGTCAAATAATTCCTTATTCATCCATATACATCACTTACTAAAGAGTTGAATTCCCCACCTCTAGCTACTAAATAATTATTTTTGTAGCTTAGGTGGTGGAAGAACTTGGACGTGCCAAACAAGCTACCTTTCGCAAGAGACAGATTGGTTGAGGTCTACTTCTGCTGGGGTTTGACAGTCGACTTTCAGCCCCAATATTCCTTTGCTAGGAGGATATCAAGCAAAGTTACTGCTATAATATCCCTTATCGATGACATTTATGAATATGGCACAAATGAACAACTGGAGCTCTTTACTGAAGCTATTGAGTCGTATGAATATATCATTAGTTAAAATTCTCTTATATATATATAATATCTAACCTTACATCACCATCCGATTAAAAAGGAAAAACTAACCTAATTATGCACAATTGATTTATGTATTACTTCATCAGGTGGGATGTCTCAGCCATAGATCAACTACCAGAGTATATGAAAGTCTGCTATCGGGCGTTGTTGGACGTATATACTGAAATTCATGAAAAGCTTGCGCACGATGGGAAATTATATCGCATCCACCATGCAAGAGAAGCGGTACTATTCCTCAATATTTGCTTAGTATTGAGTCTAAAGTTGTTACAAGGCCAGAAAAACGTGCTGCAAATACTTTACAATATGTATAGAAACAATTGATTCTTTTTGTATAATCTTTGTATATCAATATGAATTAACAGTAGAAATGATTAAGAATCATTATAATCTCATGATCTGGTATGTGTCAGATGAAAAAAGTAGTTAGAGGCTACTTCGATGAAGCCAAATTGTTCCGCCAGAAGCACATGCCATCACTGGATGAATACATGTCTGTATCACTCGTGACCGGTGGCTGCCTGTTACTAATAACCACATCCTTTGTTGGAATGGAAGAAGCTACAATAGACTCCTTTGATTGGTTATTAACTTCCCCTCCAGTAGTGAAGGCTACGTCAACAATTCAGAGACTCATGGATGACATAGCGGAACACAAGGTACTAAATCGTTTATATAACCAGTATGAATAAGTATTGTCGATTGTAAAATGTCTCACACAAAAAAATCTGACAGAATAAAATTTAACTCATATAAGTAGTTTCACTTCTAATTGCACCAAATGCTTTTGTGACAAAACCCTATACCTGTTGGGCTAGCAAGTGGTTAAGTTAGAATAGTATCACTGTTTGACCTATTAGTAGTGGACTGCTGGCCCCTTAACTGAAATCTTGACAAGCACAACTGTTATGATTGCATTAATACTTATACTAATTAACAGTCCTTTTTATCCTACTCCTCATGCACTAGTTTGAGCAAGAGAAAGAACATTTTATCGGTGTTGTGAACTGTTACATGAAGAAATATGGGGCCACAGAAGAAGAAGCGATAACCGAACTTCAAGGACAAGTGAATAATGCATGGAAGGACATAAACGAAGCGTGCCTCCACCCTACTGCTGTCCCCATGCCCCTGCTAATTCGTTTTCTCAATTTTGCTCGGGTCATGGATGTTGCGTACAAGCATGAAGATGGATACACTAATGCTAAGGGTGTGGTAAAAGATCTTATAATTTCTACACTAGTAGAACCCGTAGCTTTATAAGCCTAAAATATCGACTTATTGTGATGTTTCTTTTGAAAGTATAATCTCCAGTGCCCAAGTTGCCTACAAAAAAATAAGGAGCTACTATCCGTTAAGACTGTAAAAATGTAATTTGGGTTGTTCCTTTGCTTTCCATTTTATGATTCTATCAATAAAACAACAACTATGCAGTTGGGAATAAAACATATACTAATTATTCAGCTCAAATAGCACAATAGAACACGCCTATATAGCAGTTGGTGCTAGAACTCAGACGGAGTTTGGGCACAGGGTTTAACACTTATTGGCCCCAAGTGTTGCTTTTGGTCTTAGTGCCACAAGATGGCTTGAGAAAAAGAGAGAATAGACTTGCCACTATCGGAAGCTGCTAACAGACAATGTTTTTGTTTGAGCATGTGTGTAAGTTGCGCATTAATCTGACTTCTGAATCAAATAATTGTGCACCAAGTGGGATGGTGGTGTGGTTAAGTTTTTTTTTTTTGGTGTGCCTTAATATTTAGTGGAACTTCACACATTTTTGCCTAAAAAGTAAATGAAAGCAAAATAGTAACTAAAATAGGGAACAAGATGTAATCATTTCACGGTGGAGTGAAGATTATAAATTTTCCCAAAACCAGAATCTAGGTCGATTGGTTGAACTACATAAATTGAAATGTAAAGAAAGTAGTAAAAGAAAGATTCAAGCCATGAAGGCCGAGATAATGCTAAAGAATGTCACCGAGATCATTGGTGTCTGATGTCAGTTTGTGTAGGAACTCTTCGAGCCTTCGGGCTTCACATCTCGAAAGTCGTTCTGTTTATGTAGTTTTGTACATTTTGTATACATGTAAATCTCCCCCTTACACATACTTAAACATCGCTGCACATTTTATATATTTGTATTTCTTCTGCTGCGAATATTTCCCAAATCCATCAAAACTGAATTGGTCTTTCTTTCTTTAAGTGAATTGGCAGCGGGGGTGCAGGTGGTTTTTGGTGCTGCTCGAGTGTGACAGCTGAAGCTCAAGTGATAAGGCAGGATTGACGGAATGTGTAGAGAAGGGCTTATTGAGGATTGAAGAGGAGACATATGCGAAAATTGTGGTAGACATTGTTGTGCTAGGATAGCACCAAATTAATTGGAAACCAACTCATGGTAACCCACAGAAAATATAACAAATGAAATGCAAGAACAAAATAGAAACAACACTAAGATTTAACGAGATTCCTCAACAGTAGTGTAACTATATCCTCGGAGCAGTAGGAGCTCACCAATAATCCATTAACAACCAAATGAGAGTGTTTACAAAGTTTTTGGCAATTTCATAACCCAAAGGCCCAATACACCTAATAGTTCTCACACACCAAAAAAACAAAGGGAAATTTTATTTGAACTCATATTACCTCACTCTACACCCAACTTAAATTTAAAACGTGAATTGTCAATTTTACCCTATTGTATAATTACTATCAAATACAAGATGAAATCAGAAATCAAACTAAAATTCATCAATAAACCCACTGCCGGTTCCAAATGACAACTGAGGGCCTAAGTTAATTATTATTACTAGTGTATGTGTATGTATAAAATGATTTTGAGTCCTATAATTCATGCAGATTTGAATTACTGCGGCTAAAACCCAAGTGATGCCTAAGAATATGGATTTACAGATTACAATTCCACCACCCAATACACCTAATCTTAAAACCGAGGTAAAAACTTGAGATTAAAGCATTTGAAAGACGCTACTGCATTTGTTTATGAAGCGGCAATGGGATAAAAACAATGGGAATGCAATTCAGATAAAGCACACAAGGATTAAAACCAACTCGATTTCTATTGTAAGAGAAATAAGCATATTGGTTTAACATTTCAATCTCAAATAAGTACAAAAACACCATAACATATAAGTTAATTACTTCATCTAATCTTGTCTGCTCACATAACTTCCCGATTCTAGATTGTTTGTTTGACCAATTCATCAAACACGACTCCATATATGTATGGACATTACACTGTCAATCAACGAATTGTGGAAAACAAGTTGTAGAACACTGATTTTGGATTTTTATTTTTAAAATGGGTGTAAAGATAAATTTGCATATTATATTAGGCTTGTGAGGGTAGTTTAGGTAGTAAAATTGAGTTTAAAGAGATATTAATAATTTCATTAAAAACTATATGGGTGTAAAGAATAAGTTGTGTAGAAAGATGTTATATGAGTTTAAATAAAATTTTCCAAAAACAAATAAAGAATGAAATATAGTGATTAATTTCTTCTTCATACAAAGATTAAAGCTAATACGGCAAATACAACTGGGTGAGTGCTAACCAAAGGAGAAGGCAGAACCTTTCTTCCTCTCTTCAAATGGGGCTGTCGGCTTTTCTCTCTGCAGGGCAGCAGCTGCCCTTTTTTATTTCTCTTTGCTGTTGCTACCATAAACAATGCTGCCTTGTCAAAAGCAAATAGCAACCCTAGCCACCATGCTGCTTTTCACATGGGCCAAATAAAAGGACCCATTTAACGGGCTGCTAGACATCAATAAGCCCACAATAATTTTGCCCCAAACTTAACAATCTCTACATTGACCAAATTCCCGAAAGCACTATGACGGGCTAAACCACCATATTCAACAATTAACCCAAAAAACTACTCCCAAATACTAGCAAGAGAATAATTCATGCCGAGCCAAATGCTCCAACATTCCTTCTACTCAACTCCTTTATAAATGCAAAATGTGAGCCAAATTCAGGCAATGAACAAACTTGGCTACAACAACATCCTTAGTCAACATATCAGCGGGGTTGTCTTTAGTTGGAATCTTCTAGAGAATGATCTCCCCTTCACCAACGATTTCATGCACAAAGTGATAACACATATCTATGTGCTTAGTCCTTGCATGATGAATCTGATACTTAGCCAAATAAATGGCATTCTGACTATCACAATGCACCTCCACCTGCTTCTAATCAACCCCAAAATCTCTAATAAGTCCCTATATCCAAATGGCTTCCTTTATAGCTTCATCAACTACCATATATTCAACCTTTGTAGTAGATAAAGCAATAGACGACTACAAAATGGACCTCTAACAAACTAGCCCTTTGGCCATAGTAAACACAGCTTGTAGTAGACTTTATTTTATCCAAGTCACCTGCATAATCTGAATTAACATAACCAACTACAAAGTTGCCAATACCAGAGTTATCGCTCTCAAAGCATAAACCAACATCTCTAGTACCATGGAGATACCTCAAGAGCCACTTAGCTGCATGCCAATGCTTTAATTATGCATACATCGACTCACCATAGCAACTGCATGAGCAATATCAGGTCTAGATGATACCATTGCATACATCAAACTACCAACCAAATTAGCATATGGTATATTTTTCATTTGCAGCTTCTCTTTATCAGTTTTAGAATATTATAGAGAACTCAATTTTCAAGGTATTGCTTTCGATTCAAGCACACCAAACCCTTTTCTCTATCTCTAGTAATCACCATGCCAATGTTCTTCTTTGCTTCACCAAGATCCTTCATCTAAAACTCTTTCTTCATTTGCTTCTTCAATTTCTCAATCTTTTCGACATTCTCTGAGGCAATCAACATATCACCAACATATATCAACAAATAAACAAAAGACCCATCTTGCAAGCTCTTGAAGTACACACAATGATAGTATTGACTTCTAGAACAATTTTGACTTCTCATAAGTTTATCAAACCTCAAATACCATTGTCTTGGAGATTGCTTCAAACCATAAAGTGATTTCTTCAACTTGATAAACAAATTCTCTTTCCCTTTCACTTTATACCCATCTGGTTGAAACACAAAAACACACACACACAAATATATATATATATATATATATATATATATATATATCTCTTCATTCAAATCACCATGTAGGAAAGCCGTCTTCACATCAATTTGCATAAGCTCAAGATCATATTGTGCAACAATATAATACAAATTGAGGAGTGCTTCACAACCGGAGAAAAGATTTCATTGTAGTCAATGCCTTTTTTGTGCATACCCTTTAGCTACTAATCTTGCTTTGAATCTCACATTGTTTTTCTCATCAACAACTTTCTTCTTAGCATACACCCATTTGCAACCGATAACTTTCTTACCCTTAGGCAATAGCTAACTCCCAAGTCTTGTTCTTCAAGAGAGAATTCATCTCGCCACCCATGGCATTGTACCACTTCTCATTTTCTTCACTCTTAATGGCTTTCTCAAAATTGGATGGAATCTTATCGGTGATAATAGGAATAGCAAAAGCAACATAGTCACTAAACCGAGTTGGCTTGTGAGGTATTCTTCAACATGATTCTCAACAAGCGAAAATTCTCGATATTTTTCTTCCATTTCTTTGCAAAACAAAATTTCAGTCTCCATCACTATAGCTTCTTTTCTAATGATTACTTGACTCGTCCTTGCCAAATACAATTTGTAGAAATCGGAAAAGAATTGCTTAACAATTAGACGCTTCAACCAACGCCAAGTTTAGATAGGATTCTTACCTTGATGTCACATATGATCTTGTATTTGATCCCTCCATAAATGAACATCACCATCTAAACCAGAAGCAACCATCTTCACCATCTTTATCTCCAAAATTGGTTGTCTTGAAAAGTTTCTCTACATCCTCAACCCACAAGAGAAAACCTTAAATGTCATCACTTCCCAAAAAATAGGAATATCTTTAATGTCAACTAGATGAGATGGTCAATTCCCTCTGCGCATACCGCATCTATTGCCACAATCTCGCGATCAACATCACTTAAGGTATATCTTCTCCCACAACCAATCGCCACTAGAACGGGGCAAATCCTAACTATACCAATTGATGAAGCACGAAGCAAGAAGGATACGAGCATAAGCCCTTGAAGAACACGATTTATGGAGTCCACCAAATTTTGATTGAAAACCCAAATGTTGTTTTTTTTAATTGAATGTTTTTATTTATTTATTGAAAGATTGAAAGATGATTACAAATGAGAAGCCAAATGGCTTAAAATAAAAAGATTACAACTTGTGAGACATCTCGAAAGACTTTAGGAATTAAAACGAAAGTAAATGACATTAATCCTATAGAAATTGAAAGGTTCACAATTTAATATAGATTTTAAAATGCTCCATTTTTTCTTTACTTTTCCTCTTTGAAATTCATCCCAA